CGTACTTACTCACTTGAGAAGAGGCTAATCAGTCATCGCTAAATTGTAACATCTACAGTCTTTGTAGGGTTCAAAAAAAAAAAACCCAAACAGGTTATACAGCAGGGGAGCACAGTAGAACTTAACAGGGAGAAAGAAGAGGTAGGCTCTCAGGAAGTATCTGTGGCTGCTATGACTTATTTTTCAACAGTGTACTCTCACAGGCAAGCCCTGTTGTTTTAGACAGTTATGCACATCAGAGCACTAGGACTTATCAGCAGGCAACTTTTTTATTTTATATGGATTTCCAGGCTCTCTCTTACTATTCAAGAGCAGGCTGAGAAGGAAACATCTGGGATGGACAAAACCAGTACTCCACACGAAGCACTTACCAATGAAGGGATCAATGACATGACGCTTTTTCACCTTGGTTTCTGTGATGGCAGCATAATAGGCACAAGTCATTTTGATGAGCCAGGCTGCTCTCATTACTGGAACAGTGTATTTCGCCAAATAACCAAAGACCTCTTCCTTCTTGCTGAAGATGGGCACCTGTAACGGAATTGAGAGGGAGAATTGCAACCAAGGACTTAGATGGGAACTATTCCAAAGCAACTACACACACTGTAGATGCTACAAGCTGTGAAAAAGGGAAAATGTACTGTGTTGCTCTGTATCTCAAAAAAACCTACTGCAAGAATTCACCTCTGGTCAGAAAGCAACAGTACCAGAGCTGCACTTCAATAGAAACAGAAAGAAAACAAATTGAAAGAAGACAGAAAACATAATTACACCACTGTAAATCCACACCCTGAATCCTGCAAACAGCTTTGAGGATATCCTCCAGAGAGGATATAAACAACTACAAAAGGTACAGACTAAGGACTGAGTCAGAAATACAGAATAACTACTACACAGACTGAAGATAGGACTCTTCATTTTGTAAACAAAACAGAGTGGTTACAGAAGTCTTGTAATATCATGAGTAGCCAACAGAAGACTGAAAAACAGGGAACTGAGTACCATAGTAGGAAGGACTTCATTAATCCAAGATTCAAAATTCAAGATACAACATGTGAGGATACCAGTGAAATCATCAGACTGCAGATCTACAAACCAGGAAGCAATAACACATCACAGGAAAAAGTACAGCTATGGGGCTCGTTTCTACAGGATACTATGGACAGCTAAAGTCTGCGTGTGTTCACAGAGGAATGAGACAAATTCACAGAGAACAGGTCAATTTGGTAAGTATCTCAAAGCTCCTGAACTACCAATGGTTCAATCACTTACTTGCTGTTTCTTACATTCTTCCTAATTATTCTCTGATGCCTCAAAGACACAAAGACACAGACTACTTGGCTACCGACAGTCGCTGCTTTCATCTCTAAGTCCACGAAAACTGACGGAACTCATTGCAGGAAACTGGGGAACACCTTGAAAAGTTCAACCTTTCACAGTGACCTCTAGAAGCTGACAGCCAACATGCAAAGAGGGACACAAGGACTAAGTTTATAAAGAGACAGATTCTGGGAAAATCTGATTCCTTTCTTTTCCCCAAGAGTGACTCGGAACACCAAGGACCAGACAAACTCCAGCTTCAAAACTATGTGCTCTGCTACCATTTCGCAACTGGGAGTTATGTTTTTTCACAATGCATACTAGATTCCCAGGCTCCTTGTTTATAAGCCCACCCTGACAGAGAGTTAGCTCCCCTTGCTATCAGGCCCGATAAAACAGCAGAGTAAGACCCTTCTTTCTTCTTTCATACTCTACAGAATTCAATGCTACCAGGGAAATAACCTAGCCCTAGACCCCAGGGCACAGAAATGCTCTGGCCTGGCTGAGACCAAGCTTTAATACACATACTCTTCCCAGCTTAAAACCAGAAACGTGTCACTACAACAGAAGTCTGGGAAGTCACTCAGCTGATTATTTCCAGTAATTCTCACTGACTTTTGAGAACTTGAAAAACTCTCCCCAATAAGAATGGTCCTAATCTAAACAACAGACCACAGGCAATAGCAGCAGCTCTTCTGAAAAACATCCAAACCTTAAAATAGATCAGTCGTATCATACAAGCCAAAAGGAAAAGTTGAACACAACCTCCAAACAACAGACAAGGGACCAGTTCTTTGAGTGGGGACAATTACAGCCAGTGCACTACAAATCCTGGATATGCTCTTCGAGCTGAAAGCTTCAAGAGATATAGACAGCAGAAACTTCTCCAAAGAGTAAAAACCTTCTACTATACAAACACTTCAGAAACAAGAATGGATTAAATGCTCCGCCCTGCCAGGCAGCCTCTCCTGTAACATACCTTCTTAGCGAGATGAGTGAGGGGCTTAGTTCCAGCCAGATCTGTAAACCAGTTATTTATGGCACTCTGAGAACGTGCTGTCACCAGCCAAAAGTTATCCTTCTGATTCACCTGCGGTTTCCGTCTTCCCGTGTCAGGCAGCGTATTGCACCGCAGCTTTTCTGCAATAATACTGCTAAAATTTGAACTGATCTGGAAAAAAAGAAAAAAGGATGAATTACATTTCACAGGTCAAAGATCTACTCTATGAGCTTAAAATCTCATTTATCATTCCTACCAGAAGTCTCACCAGTATCAACTTCTGAAACACAAAAAACCTGCCAATAATTTCCTTTGTTATACTTGCAAAGAGGAATGTTTCTAGACAACTCATACAATAACCAAGCAGGGACTTAAGTTGAGATGGACACAACTCTTTACAAATAATTGTCAAACCAGACAGAAGGCTTCTCGGACAGATGTCAGCCAAGGAAAACAAATATACTGTGCTTACTGATTGCCTTCCACCCAGGTCATTACCAGTCCTCTCGTCAGGGAAGCCAGGAAGTTAACATCTTGATTTTAGAGACTGGAAAAATGGAGTTGAAGCCTGTTATGTAACTCCCACGTTTAAATTGCCAGATGTTTCAAGAAATCTTACTTCTCTTCTACCATGGCCATAATGTAACCAAACCAATAAGAAAAAAGTTTCTCGTTTCTGGTATCCTAGTCTTCTGCTTCAATTGCAGAATACAACGAATTCTAGCTGCTGGTTTAACAGAGACTGCAGATACAGACCTGCCCGTAAGATGTATAGAGCAAGACTGTCATACAGACCTCCTCTGTCAGACGGAGGACACAGTTCCAAAAGAACGCAGAACATTGATTCTACAGGGACAGAGGGTTAGGTTCTAAAACACCTGTCCTAAGGGGAAGGGTCTCCTGGTTCTGGACATGGGGAAGGAATGAGACCCAGGACTGTCCAGGACCCAGCAGCCTGCCCATACAGGCACCAGGCCCTGCCAAACCCCCACACCCTCCTGATGGCTCTCACCTTCGCCGGGTTGAAATTGACATTTTTGGCACTGCCGTGCTCGTCCCCAGAGACGGCTGGCTGGTTATTGAAGCCTTGCTTGACGTTCAGAGCGGTCAGCTCATCCTGCGGGGGAAGGACGATCAGCAGGGCCCGGCGAGGCCTCTCCTCGCCAAAGGTCCGCAGCTCTCTCCCCACCACGTCTGCTCAGCCAGCGGGGGGAGAGGGGACGGCGA